TCTATAAAAAAACAACTTTAAATGTGGTCAAATGATCTGCAAGTTTGACCAGAATTATGAACGATGATTTTATTGATTATGTGATGCAAATCGCCGTGTCTTTCGGCAACCTGTACAGCGTCCCATCCCTACTTGTCACTTATTTAGATATTTGATTGAATAATTGATTAAATAATTTGTCAGCTATGACCGGTCATTTAACCGTATGACTGATCGCGGTTAACCGATAATGACTGACCGATGACTGACCGTGACCGACCGAACCCATCCCTATACGGCCCACTACGAACATGGATCTTTAGTTTTTCTTATTTAAAAAAAGTTACAATTTTCTGAAAACTCCACTAATAGATTTTCAGTACTCCAATTTAATATTTGGTTCGGCAGGTAAAATGTCCTACAAATGTACTACTGTCGTGAGGTTAATGAATGTTCGTAACAAATAATATTGTAGCTCAAATGTTATAAATTTTTGTAGCACTCGTTTTACTTTTACTTCGTTCTCTCGCATCCACGCCTGTCTACACCTTAATAGCTTCTCTGACCACGTCCTACTCTAATTAGACAACGCGACACCACTACTCTGGCACAGGTAACGTTTACTAGAAAATCAAAAGGTAGGTTCGATCAGTGAAATCGAACCTCCTATTTATTTAATTTATTATGCACGATTACATAATTGACTCTACACAATAGACTATCCTATTACAGGCTTTACATTCTTTAGTTACGCACATCTTACGCTTATCGTTACACTAACTACAATTACAATTTACCCCGAATCTGGTTCCCAGCACTAGTTACATATGCAATCAATTAATTCCAGTAACTACGAACTGTCATACATTTCACAAAATATGTATTCAATCATAGCTACATAATAAGAGCACACATTACGTGTCAACGATACACTTCAGAACTTGTGTAATCTTTGAAATTCCGAGAATAAAATCTGTTAAAATACTTTTGCAATTTAAGTATAATAAGTAAGTATAATAAGTAATTACAATAAGTAATTACATGAGTTAAGATTTAAAGATCTATATCTGAACGTGCCAAGATTTAAAAACCAAAAAGAAATAAATCAACTAATATTCTAGTTAACAATAATATTTGACAACAGGAGTGGATATAAAAATTTGCTTGCAGTTTTAAATAAATTATTGGAAATTAATCCAAATAACACAACGGCGTTACATAATCGTGCATTAGTTTCCCAAAATATGGGTAACGAGAAGGAACTTGAAGATTTAAATGCGTTATTAGAAATTGAACCAAATAATGTAGAAGCATTAGAGAAACGTTTTATGCATTATCTTGAGATAGGAAAGTATAATGAATCACTTGTTGATTTGAATCAGTTATTAAAAATTAATCCAAATGATGCAATGGCTTTATTATTCGTGGAGCGGCTTATCGACAGATAGGAAAATATGAAGAATCACTTGCAGATTCAAATAAATTATTAGAAATTGATACAAATAATGTAATGGCATTAATTAATCGTGGGGAAACTTATCGACTGTTAGGCAGGTATGAAGATTCACTTGCAGATTTAAATAGAACATTAGAAATTGATCCAAATGATGCAGCGGCTTTAAATAATCGTGGATTAACTTATCAAAATATGCGCAGATATGATGAATCACTTGTAGATTTAAATAAATCGTTAAAAATTGATCCAAACAATGCAATGGTTTTAAATAATCGTGGAGAAACTCATCGATTAATAGGCAGATACGATGAATCACTTGCAGATTTAAATAGATCATTAGAAATTGATACAAATAATGTAATAGCTTTAAATATTCGTGGATTAGCTTTAAATAATCGTGGATTAGCTTATCAAAATATGCGCAGATACGAAGAATCACTTGAAGATTTAAATAAAGCGTTAAAAATTAATCCAAATAATGCAATAGCATTAAGCAATCATGGAGAAACTTATCGACTGATGGGCAGATACGATGAATCACTTGCAAATTTAAATAGATCATTAGAAATTGATTCAAATAATGCAACAACTTTAAATAACCGAGGATTAACTTATCAAAATATGCGCAGATACGAAGAATCACTTGTAGATTTAAATAAATCATTAGAGATAGATCCAAATAATACAACGGCATTAATTTATTGTGGAGGCACCTATCGATAGGCAGATATGAAGATTCACTTGCAGATTTAAATAAATCGTTAGAAATTGATCCAAATAATACAATAGCTTTAAACAATCGTGGATTAACTTATCAAAGTATGTACAGATACGATGAATCGCTTGCAGATTTAAATAAATCATTAGAGATAGATCCAAACAATGCAACGACTTTAAGCAATCGTGGAGAACTTATCGATTGATAGGCAGATTCGAAGATTCATTTGCAGATTTAAATAAATCATTAGAAATTGATCCAAATAATGCAATTACTTTAGTTAATCGTGGATCAACTTATCTAAACATGCACAGATACGATGAATCACTTGTAGATTTAAATAAATCGTTAGAAATTGAACCAAACAATGCAATAGCTTTAAACAATCGTGGATTAACTTATCAATATATGCGTAGATATGAAGAATCACTTGCAGATTTAAATAGATTTTTAGAAATTGATCCCAATAATGCACTAGTACTAAATAATCGCGGCGCTGTTTATCAATTGCTTAAAAGATTTGAGGAATCACTTGCAGATTTTAATAAAGCATTGGAAATTGATCCAAATCACATAATAGCATTAAATAGTCGTGGGTACATTTATCAGCAGATGGGAAGAAATAAAGAATCAATTTCAGATTTAAATAAATCATTCGGAATAAAATCATATAGTACAGACATGAACTATTTAAGGTTTGGAACTTGTGCAAATTGTAAAAAATATAACACAGGATTTTTTTATTGTCATTCTTGTGATCCTAAAATAAGTCAGAACTGGACTAGTGGAAATCCCGAAATAGATCAATTTATAAAAAATGCACAAGAAGATTCTAAATATTATCATAAGGTAATTGAATTTATACCTTATGATAAATTAGAAAATATTGAACAAATTGGTAAAGGTGGTTTTAGCACAGTGTATACTGCAATCTGGATTGATGGTAAACGTACATACAATATAGGTATAAATAATAATGATGTATTATTATCTCGAGTGCAATGCAAAGTGGCCCTTAAAAGTTTAACCGGAGCTCTAGATATATCATCAGATTTTTTTAATGAGGTAGTATAAATTAATTATGTTATATTTTATACTGTATTTAAATAAGTAAATACTAATAATAATGCTAATTAATTATATTAGTTTAAAATACATTATGATTGTCAGCTTAACAGATATAGCATAGATAAATATGGAATAGAAATATATGGTATAACTTATAATACCGTTAACAATGAATATCTAATGGTTTTTGAATTTGCTGATAAAGGAGATCTCCGTCAGTATTTAGCAGCAAATTTTAAAACTCTCGATTGGAAGCAAAAAATAAAAATACTTTGTTCAATCTCTGATAATTTAGATTATATTCATCAAAATTATATTCATGGAGATTTTCATAGCGGCAATATTCTTATGATTAGTACCAGAGATATTCAAAATATTCCTTATCCTGTAGGAGATAAATTAGCAATAGTTTCACTAAATGTAGGTGATAAAATAAATCTAGAACCAAAAATTTCGGATTTAGGACTAACTAGAAAAATAAATGAATCTACTGCAAATAAAGAAGTATACGGGGTAATATCTTATTCAGCACCTGAAGTATTATCAGGAAATAATCCTACAAAAGAATCGGATATTTATAGTTTAGGTGTAATTATGTCAGAAGTGTCAACTGGAAAGCAACCTTTTGAAAATATATCTCATAAAACAACTAATTTTATATTGGATATAATAATCAACGAATTGCGACCAGTATTTGCTTTAGGAACACCAGAAGCTTATATTAAACTTGCAAAACAGTGCATGAATAATGATCCGACGAAACGGCCAACTGCCAAAGAAGTTTATGAACAATTACAAGAATGGGAAATAATTCTTAATAAGGAGCAAGAAGAATTAAGTGGAGAACAAATTAAAATAAAAAATGAATTTTTAGAAGCGGACAAAATTATTCCTACTCTATCAACAATTTCACAAAAACATCAAGATTCTTTATATATTCGTCAGCCAATTAGCTCTGAGCTAATAAATACTTTATTAAATACAATTTAAATTCTTATTATTTTCTGTTAATATCAATAAACAAATTTATATCACAATAGATTACAAGTTTATTAATATTGAAATGTTGTATTGTATTAAATAATTTTCTTATTTATTTATAGCGAATCATAAAATAAACGTGATTGCATAAATGAATTTAGTCCGAAAAAAGAAACTTATCATATAAATGCAATAATAGTTACTGTATATAAATCAATGAATTTTTTAACTGTTATTTAAAAATCGTTATCATAAAAATTCAACTAAAAATTGCTTCTAAAAATGTGAAAATAGCTTGAGTTATTTAAAATATAATTTTAAAATAGCCTTTAATACCGTAAAATCCGGACATGTATACCCCCCATGGCGTGCACCCTAGCAGTTTTAAGGGCTAGTTGGTGACTTATACCTATACATGGGTGCCTAAATTGCCCATCTTAATAAAAAAGTAATTACGGCATTTAGGCAGCCGACATTAGTCTTATATAGTGCCGAAATTAATTTTCATATTTGCAGAAATTATTGCCGAAATTTTTTGAACTCTTTTCATCAAAATACACCATACAATGTAGTTATTTCGAAGGGTTTTCATATAAAAATTTGGCAATGCCGAAATGTTTGCCGAAAATGCGATTTTTCAAAAATAATTTAGACACCCATGTATACTTATACCCGGTACATAGGTATTATACATACTATTTATCATCCCAGGTAGATATATTGTCTCAATACGGCGTACCACGGTATCACGGGTACAAAATTGAGTAATGAAAATACCCGGGGTACACGTGTCCGGATTTTACGGTATTTTGTTAATTTCATAAGAGTTTCAAAAATTAAAGTCATCGTTTATCTAACCAATTTGATTAAACCTTATCTTGAAAAAATGCTTTCAAATAACAAGCTATTAATAATTATTCGAATTACAATAATTATAAATTATTGCACGGGTTGTTACATAATATTCATGCAACAAAACTTTTAAAAAAACCTATTTACAATAACCAATAATTTACTGATAAATTTCTGTGAAATTTCCTTCAATACATGAGCTGATATGCCCATCAGGCATAGCAACTTTAAATAAAAATTTAGTGATTAGCTGTGGTAAAAAAAAAAAGATAAATTTATAAATTTACAATTAAATTACAAATTCAAAAAGAATACATACTAATGTTTCTCGCAAATTTAGTTAGAGTCACATTTTTAGGATCATATTCATCTTGTACTACAGTTTCAAAAAAACGGCCTTTATAATAAAATTCTCCAGGTGCAACAGGACACCGGCCACCGCTTGGTTCAATCCATTCTTTACAGAAATCTTGTACAGTAAAACCCATAGGCTCATCTTTCCAAAATGTCATGGAGCTATAATGGGTACCATTTTCTATAGTAATTGTAGAAATTCCACCAATTTCAAATTCTATGGAATGGTTTTTAATAATTGGATTTGGACTAAAAGAAAAGTGAGTAATTTTAATTTGAAAGGTGCCAGGGCACTCAACAAGGCCGAATAATTTATCATTATTAGAATAAGATGGAGTAACAAAAATGATGAAAATTAAAAGTAAAATAAGGTTAAGCATTTTTACGCTTAAGTTCATTTTGACTCCTGTAGTGAACAACGTCAAAGATAAATATCTTATATGGTATAGGTGTTAATTCTATTGTTATATTTTATGTATAACTATGTTACTCTAATATTATTTTCTCTTAATTTTATAGAGGTAAGTTAGTAAATTTTATGGTCGCAGAGATAGAATTTAATGGGGCAAGAGTAGAATGAATAAAGATGATTAAAAGATAATCGGGCAATAAATCAAATATTTTGTGAGACAATCTACAAAATGCATAGATATCGTAAGTATGCATAAATTCACGTACGTACATACGTACTTCATATGTACGATACTGTATTACAGCAGAACTATACGTAAGTTTGAAATTATAGTGCACACTGGTTCATACAGTAGAAGGACTCTCGTCTGATTGGCTGATGTAAATCAATTGCCCGGGTAACTTATTTATACGGTTTAAAGTACTTTTTAGTTTACTAACAAAAAAATCACCATAAAAGTCATTTATAGCTTTGAAAAAACGTTTATATTCACTGTTCAAATAATCAGTAACCCCAAGAACTTCATTTAAAAGCTATTATTTCGTTATTTATAAGTTTTGTCTGCTCAGGGACAATGATTTTATGTTTTCACATAACACACATACGCAAATATAATTTGGTTTATACCGCCGCAAAATAGTACGTACATAATGTGCGATTTACAAGGATTGTCACATAATTTGGTAATTTATTGATTTTTTGTGAAATACAGTAAGTTAATTTTATTACAAGCCTAAAAAGTTATTATAAGTTTAGAAATTATCAATAGACTCTTCTGTTTAATCTTTGCAGTTATTTCCGACTGAAGACTATCAATTTACAACCGCTTAAAAAATTCAAAGCAATAAAAAGAAAAATATAAATATTCAAAATAAATGTACAAATTTAAGGCAAAGCAATTGTAAAAGTGGTGTGAACCTAATTATATATGTTATCTTCTATACGTGAAAGTGATTGGGTATACGACTCCAGTAATGGATATAGATTTTGATTAGGATAGGATAATGAAGTAGATAATGAGTAGGTACAATGTAAATAACGAATCAGATAATGTAGATAATAGAGAAATAAAAATTGTGAGGTATGTTAATCCGACCAAAAAAGAGTAAACATCGAAATTTCATTGACAAGGTCACATAAAGTGCATTACCCGCCGACCCTTTTTTTCAATTTTTTAATTCCCAATTGTACCAATTATTCTATTTTTACCTTTTAATTTTTTTTTCATAAATTAATCCGGTATCATCCAATAGGGACCAAGCTTTCAGATTCCATATTATGCAAAGCGAATTTAACTTTGTATAGCTTTAAATGTGAACATGAGTCTATTAATTTACTGTAAATTTTACAGCTGCTTTCATAATTCCTGGAACACCTGATAAAAATTGACCGAATGATTTTTCGCCCGATCCGGTTAAGTTATTGATTTCGGCTTGATCTATATAATAATAAAAATAATAAAAGCTATATTTTGGTATCATAATGATAATTTTACAATCGTTATAACAATAATGTCAACTTTTTTAAATTTTCGTTCAAATGCTTGTCCAATATGATTGGTGGCTTAGTTTGTACAAAAATTTATGGAAAAAACAACTCTTGTCAACCAATAAACCTTAATAAAAAACGTAAAAAAGGATCCGAATATAAATTAGACTTTTATAACAAATATATTACACGAACAGATGCCGCTATTAATAAAGTTAAATATGAACATGAATTTGTTGACTGATTTAAAAATAAATCTCTGGTTAAGATTCCAAGAATTATGATAAACGAAATCCAAGTAAAAATTTTTATATGTTTATATTTGTTTATATATTTATCGTCTTCGACAAGAAACGAAAAATAATTAGAATAAATAAATGCTTTCGTTTGAACGAAAATGTATCTTGCCAAAGAATAGGAATCAAGTTTAGTTTAATTTTTTTAAAACGAATTTCTCATCTTCGACAAGATACAAAAATAATTAGAAATAAATTAATGACTTCGTTTGAACGAAAATGGATCTTGCCAAAGAATAGGAATTGAAGTTTTATACAATTTTTTAAAAACTAATTTTGTCGAAAAATAATTAGAAATGAATAAAGGCTTCGTTTGAATGAAAATGGATAATAAGAATTGAAATTTTACGTAATTTTTTTAAAAACGAGTTCTCGTCGAAAAATAATTAGAAATGAATAAAGGCTTTGTTTGAACGAAACTTAATCTTGCCAAAGAATAGGAATTGAAATTTTATACAATTTTTTTAAAACCGAAATTTCGTTGAAAAATAATTAGAAATGAATAAATAATTTTAATATGATTTATGCCATAAAAAGTTCTTACTTTACTTACAGACTATTGTGATTGCGTAAGTGGTTTAGGTAGGGTTATTGTCGATTTAAATCAGTTATTAAAAATTAATCCAAATGATGTAAGTGTTTTACTTACACGTGGATTTGTTTATCGAAAGATAGGCAAATATGAAAAATCACTTGCAGGTTCAAATAAATTGATCCAAATAATTAATGTAATTTAATTAATCGTGGAGAAACTTATAAAAGATAGGTAGATATGAAGATTCATTTGCAGATTTAAATAGATTATTAGAAATTGTCAAATGATAAAACGGCTTAAATAATCGCGGATCAACTTATCGAGTGATTGGCAGATTCGAAGAATCATTTGCAGATTTAAATAAATCATTAGAAATCAGTGCTGGAACTTCATATGACCAATGACCAAATGAATTGGTCATTGGTCATTTGGTCATTTACGTTTGAAATGACTAAATGACCTGATATGAAAAATTATACACACATTGCCTGGATCTTGTTGGCTGACATATGGTCGTTGGTTGATACTACCGATTTAAAATACATATATAATATATTAGATGAAAAAATGGCAAATGACCTAGGGTATTTGGGGTCATTTGGTCATTTAGAATCAAATGACCAGTCATTTCCCAACACTGTTAGAAATTGATCAAATAATGCAATAGCTTTAAACAATCGTGGAAAATTTTATCAACTGATAAGTAAATACGAAAAATCACTTGCAGATTTTAATAGATCATCAGAAATTGATCAAAATTTCGCAATAGTGTTAAATAATCATCGAATGGCTTATAAACAGATAGGCAGATACGAAGAATCACTTGCAGATTTAAATAGGTTATTAGAAATTGACCCAAATAATGTAACAGTATTAAAGCGCTTAGAAAATTTGAAGAATCACTTGCCGACTTAAATAAAGCGTTAGAAATTGATTCAAATAATACACATGCTTTGAATAGTCGCGGAAAAACTTATCAACTGATGGGCAGCACTTTTAGTTTTAAATAAATCATATGGAATAAAAACATATGAACTATTTAAGTTTGGAACCTGTGCAAATTGTAAAAAATACAACACTGGAATTTTTTATTGCCATTCTTGTGATCCTAAAATAAGTCAGAGCTGGACTAGTGGAAATTCTGAAATAGATCAATTTATAAAACATGCACAATAAGAATCTAAATATTATCATAAAGTAATTGAATTTATATCTTATGATAAAGCATTCGTTTATTATCAAAAATCTGCAGAGATGGGAAATGATAGAGGAACATATGAGTGACGGGATATGAAAACCTGTAAATCGGTTCACTCATTATCATCGTAGTGATATGTATCCCTAATTCTTATAGGTGTAGATATCACTACAATGATAATGAGTGAAATGATTTACAGGTTTTCATGTCCCGTCACCCATATAATGTTGGACGTTGTTATTAAAAAGGAGTGGGATTCTCAAAAAATGAGCGCAAAACTTTACTTATTTTCTTAAAGCTACTGATATGGGTAATGCTAATGAAGCATTTAAAGCTGGTGTTTGTTATCGAAATGGAATAGGAGTTGAGGTGGATGAATTCGAAGCGTTTAAATGTTATCTGAAAGCGGCCAATATGGGTCATATTAAAGGAACATATAACGTTGGTTATTTTTATTACCATGGAATTAGAGTTATCAAAAATAAGCATGCAGCGTTCGTTTATTATAAGAAAGTCGCCGATTTAGGATACAAAAATATTGGTTTTTGCTATCAGCATGGATTTGGTGTCGAAAAAGATTATTTGAATAGTATCTTAAGGCAGCTGACATGGATTTGGTTTTTGGAATGACACAAGTTGCACGGTATTTTCAAAACGGTACTGGAGAGAAGAGGGATTTACAAAAACTCAAATTATTGGCATCAGAGGTAATAATAATAATAATAATAATAATAATTTTTTAATTCATTAAATTTTATGTATGTATGTATGTATGTATGTATGTATTTATTTATTTATTTAGCCATTTTAATTAATAAGAGCGAAAAATGCTATAATAAGTAATTTATATTTTAATTAATTTACTATTTTACCAATTATCAATATGTTGTGATTGTTTATAATTAGTCAAATATGAGTACGTATATGAAAGGTTTGATGTTGAAGAGGATCTTAAAAGGATGTTGATCGAAAAAAATGTCTACTACCATGGATTCCTTACGATAAGTTTTTAGATATAAAAGAAATTGGAAAAGGTGGATTTGCTATCGTCTACCGCGCACGATGGAATAATAAAAGTAGAAATTTAGATACAATTGTCGCTCTTAAAACGCTTAATTCTTATTATTGTAAAAAATTTATAAAGCATATTATGAAATTGGAAATCAATAACCTATGTTTTTAAAATGCTATGGAATGTCAAAAAAAATGATAATGGAAAATATGTCATCGGTTTATAGTATGCCAAAAAGAAATCTTAAATAAAAACCTATCTAATGTATTATAAATTGAATGAACAAAAAAATTAAAAGCAATCCATTCTCAAGGATTTGTTCATAAAGATTTACATAGCAGTAATATCTTACAGTGCAGATTTAGGACTCACATCATCTTCAAAAAATGATAACGGAGTTTTTGGCGTTTTAACCCGGAAGTGTTAATAGGAAAAGAGCTTACACAGACCTCAGATA